CAGATGAGAAAACTGAGGTTCTGGGCACAAAGGAACTTACCCAAGAATTCCCAATGTGTTAGTGACACAGTCAGATCTCTTTTCTCACATCACCCTCTGACTTGATACAAAGATGTTGCCATAGGTATTTCCTATGCCATATGCATGGCAAAAAGAAATGTGAAGTATTGCTTCTTTGGGCAGGTATTTTTTATGGTGAGCAGCTCGTTGGAAGTTCAGATATTTGCTCACTTGGCAAACATCTTTGGGGATGACAACTCGCCGCTCACAGAAAGAAAACCACGGCTTTTGAACGAGGCTTTGAGTAAAAGTTTAAGCAGCAGCAATAAATGGCAAGTGGCAACGATGGCCTCCGATCAAAGAACCACCTTTCCCTGGCTACAGTGCCGTCCCCACTACTGGTCGTAAAACCCCAGGAAAGACCATTCATGGCGTAACCTTAGAAACAGGATGTGACTATAGCTCGATCGCGAAAAAAAAAAAAATCATGAGATTATCCAAGCCCTAATCGTGCCAAAATCACAGAGGATGTTCAATGAAAGGGCAGTTCTGAGAAATCCACTAGATTTCATATTCTTAGCTAGATTCCGAGAGTTGGGAGAATAACCAAGGAACATGTCTTTCTGCTAGTACTTTGTCTGTAGGACACGATTGAAAATCACGTTCAGAAAATAATAAAAATAAAAAGATTCCCTTAGCTCCTACAGCTTCCTTCGGTTATACAATAAAGTTCCCCAATAATGGAGCCATCTGACAGCCTCAGTGTCAGCTCGGGCCGGGGTGTGATGGAGCAGAGACTCCCCGGCTCGGGTGACACACGGCCTAGATCCCAGGCTGCGCGCTGCTGCTAAAATGCTGTGCGGCTGCAGGCGTGTCTATGGACCCTCCTGAGTCTCGGACTTTCCACTGTGTCATCAGGGCTTAGCGCTATCAGCTAGCGCTAGCTAGACAGACAAGGGTACCGATCGGGCCCCTGGTGGCAGTCATGTCGCTAAACCTCCATCTAGCAGGGCGTTTTTCAGAGAAATAACAAGCTTTCCAGGGGGGAGGACCAGTCGAGTCAGGCCGCTGCCAGGCAACCCACCGTCCCCTCCCCCGGCCCGGGCGGGTCCCCCCCGCTCGCACTGGGCAGAAAACTGCAGCCCCGCGAGCGGATCGGGAAACCGCAGAGGGGTGGGGGTGGGGATGGGGATGGAAAATGGGCCCTTCTGACACGCCAGTGCCCACGAGGGTGCCCTCGGGGCCAGGGCCTGCGCTCGCAAACAGGAAGGGTCGGCTCCGCTGCAGTTTGAGTCCGGTTTATGAGATCAGGGACAGTTTTCGTATTTCTCGGGCCGCCACCGCTTTCCCAACACGTGCCGCATGCAAAGCAACCGAGCGCGGCTTCACTGAGCCCGGGAGCAGAGCGAGGGTGGTTGGCGATCGCCCCTCCGAGGGCCACGGCTAAGGCGTTTAGCGTCGTTCCCAAGGCAACTGTTTGTCCCCAAGCGGCAGAGAAGGAACCAGCCTCGCGCCCAGGCT